CTCGATCGTTTATAAAGTTGCGAATAGCTTCTTGCTGTATGATACCCTGGCTCTGGAAAAGCGTAATAGGCAGATCTAGCAAAGGACAAGGCGACATCAATGAGAACGCGAAAGCGTACGCGCAGAAAGCACTGAACGCGACTTCCGATGCTCTGCTATTGGTCAAGTCGGTTTTCAGATCTGCGCGTCACTATCGTCACGTCTTCTTCGCTAAATCAGGGAAAAGTCTAGATAGATTCTATAGTACAAACGAGGTCGGACACGTCATGAGGTTTAGACAACCTAGTATTCGTTACTACTAACTAAGACGAAGGAAAGCTCATTATGTAGAAAATTAAGAATAAGGGAGGGCACTTTAGAAGCAAAAAGTACGAAAATAGAGCTGCGATTATGGTGTTTGCACTGATGATGTATAGTGATTAGTGTAAAGCACTGATTTAGGATGGTTAGCTCTTATATTTATTAAATATTTGGCAAACCCCACAGGAATAGGCAACCTCGTCCCCAGGGCTTTTCCCTAAAAAAATGGGTGGGGCAAAAATGGGTGGGGCGAGAAAAGGCCCTGGCATCGGCTGATCACGTGTCTTCATTAAATATTCATATGAACGGTAATGTATGAATTCCTGTTGTCAATTCTGCATCCTCATTGGTTGACGGCTTTTCAGAAAAATACATTAGAAATTGATTTGTGATTAAGCCCTGGGGACGAGGTTGCACTTTTCCCTAAAAATCTTGTCAAAGTATCATTCGATTTTAAAAATAAATCACTCATCCTGAAGTTCTTGGAACAATGAGTTTTTGAGAATTTTTTGGAGATTATTAGAATATTTGTTATCAATGAAAGTTTGAAGGCAAATGTTAAAAGTTATGGGAAAATGGGAAAATAGTTACGGTTAGGGTTAGTTAAAAATTAAAATTTGAAGGGAATAATTAATAGACAAAAGACTAGACAGTCCGACACCACAAAAAAGGTGGCCCTGAGCCAATTAGCGGACTGACTGGTTTACGTGTATACCTTGTTCTATCCTTCTTTCTTTTCTCAATTCAACCCCAATTCCCCCAAAATTAAACTGTAATCCCCCCTTAACCTTTCTCTTCTGACTGTCAGTGTGTCCCTCGAAAAAGCTGGTAACTTCTTTCTAATGGTTGTTGAAGAGATCACTGCTAATTACTGATTTGTATTGACAAATTGGGTGTGTCGTTTTAGTACCTGGTGCTCCTCCTCAAAATGTTCAAGCAACCAACAAAACTTCAAGCAGCATCTTGGTCACGTGGTATAAGGTCCCAACCAATCAGCAGAATGGGGACATTTTAAGTTACCATGTCATTTATACAATGATGAATCAAAACGTTACGGCAACAAAACAGGTAGAAGCTCCAGCTCTAAAATTGAAACTAACTGGATTGAAAGCGAAGACAAACTACAGCATCACAGTAATGGCTTCGACCATCAAAGGACATGGACCCACTAGTCCAGCCATTTACGTTGTCACAGAATCAGTTTAACCGTGGAACCACACGGGAACCTGCGGAAGCTATTAAAAGAAGTGGCCGTCGACCCAACTACTTCTAATTTTAATACTCATTCGCAGCAACGAAACTGACTGTTTCTATCCGGGGGAGGGGGGGGGGGTACTCAACAAAATTTTATATGAGAGGCTTCGCCCCGAGGTCCATACCCCACCCCTCTATGTAGCATTTTTGACAAAAAGTTACGCTTTTCGTACATCTTCTATTGACAAATGGTACCCCTTTCATATACCTAGTTGAATCGAGTAAATGCGGTAATATCTGAGGCACTATATTTGCCTCTCACTGAAAGAGAGGTGGGCATTAACGAAATCACGATAAAGCAACCACAATCTTGTGATTGAGTTCGGGAGGTATGAGCAAATCGCTCGGGAAGACAGATGCGTTTTCTCTTTTTACTGTCCCAAATACTTTGCAGTTAAGGATAGATTTTTTTTCTATAAGCGGTTTTTACGCTAGAGACGTTTAGGTTGTCCCTGACGCATTTAACGTCTAAGACGTCAAAGGACGAGACACATGAAAGTAGACAACAGCAGTGAAAAAAAAACCAGATTTTTCTAAAAAAAAGAAAAGACAACTAAAAAAAAAACTGACTCTTCCCGGTCATTTCTGAACGGGTTGGGCATATAAATGCGTCCCAGTTTATTGCGTTTTTATACTAGACGCATTCAGTTAACGTCTGAGTGTTGAGTGAGTTGGAAAGACGTAATAAAGAGAAGACGTAAATGTCGTCAAAAGTTAAATGCTTATATCAACCGTTTTTACTCTAGACGTTGAAATCGCTCTAAGACGACTTTGGCCTAGGCTAAACGTCGAACTTTTCATTAGATTGTCTCCGGGACAAACGTCGATCTTCACATGCTACAAACTAAACTATTAAATTAAAAATTTGTATTATAATGTATATTTAGCCTCGTTCGGGAGAAAATTTATTACTTATCTGATTCAGTTGATTGGTTCGAAGCGTTTTAAGTTCGACGTCTGACCCAACAGACGATCTTAACTTAATTTAGGTCCACCCAAATTAGAGCCGTTTGGTTTGTCTCAGGAACGGTTCGACGTTTTGTAGTCGACTTTAACGTATCTAGCGTAAAAACGGCCATTTTACAATGAAATACAGTCTGAAATTTTAACAACTACCAAGGAAAAAGGGACTTGAAGCTTTAAAATGATTAGATATTTATGGGAAGAAACGAGCTTCTTATAGTTATGGAAATAAAACTTACATCAGATAAATGAGCTAAATCGGGTAAAAGTTGACAATAAAGTATAAATATTTTTACCTGGTGTCGTTTGTTTGTTTCCTTTGTTTTTGTAAGTTTCAGCGCGATTTGAGCAGTATTCTTAATATCATCTGACCTGCCAGTGTATAAGTAATAAACCTCAGCGTATAACATCCTCCTCGATCTCAATAATTTTTCAGATCATTCTTGGCCTCACCCAAAAATTGCTAATTTTTGCAAAAAGCTTAGCAACGTCTTCTCGCGCAACGCCTTACCAGTTAATGAAGCTGTATAGTCTTTGACTGTGGACAGAGGCTTTAGCGTCAGTTTATGTACAAAGAAAATCAGGATCCCCGAGGGGTACCCAACAAAGTTTTAAACGGGGAAGCTCCGCCCCCGATGCCGAAACCCCCTCACCCTTTTCTTTTCCATTTTTGACAAAAAAAGTACCACTTTCGAATACCTCCTATTAACTAATGGTACCCCTTTCACATCACTTTTTTAGAAGTTGTATCCCCGTTGTAAATACATAAATCACAAAACCAGAACTTTTTCTCGACTTTCTCACAGTCATAAAATGTCTAAAATGCATCTGTTAGCCATTTTAAGCCTTTTTACCCACCGAAATGGCAGATTTTCCTACCCTTTCATAAACCTCAAATAGTGAAATCCCTACCCTTTCATATAACCGATGAAACCTCAAAAAGGTACCCCCATGGGGCGGAGCCTCCCCGAAAGGGCATTATGGGGATTATCCCTCCGGGGGTCACGACACTGACGTGAGAAGCGAAGGCATCAGCTCGGGAAAAAAAAAGTCTTTCATTTTTTTTTTCTATCCTAGATTCAAGAAAACATGAGAGAATGTCAGAATGGGCGTCGACAGACCAATTGCATCTCGGAGCAACACGGGGGAGAAGAACGCAGAGAATTTCGATTGCCCTGTAACTCAATCTTTAATGGTCTTTGACGGTTTGAAGTTTTGTCGTTCCTTTCTTATTAGTCGCAGTTTTTCGTCTTGTAAACTGAATGACATTGTCTGTTTAGGCAATTCGAGACGGTCTCCTCCCCTTTCATCTGCCGATGGGGTCTGATAAAATGTTTGCAAGACATTCTTTTGACAGTAAAATATCAAACAGTGACAAGTAAGCGAACCAACGCGCCGGGTAAATGGCATCTTGCTATCGAGTCCTGAAGGCATTATGCATCATCTTAAACCTAGTCATGTACACCCTTCTCTTGGTCATGAATTACGCGTCCAACAACAAAAGCGGAATTCTATATGGAAACAAGTCCTTGGCGCAAATGGCACGTAAATACTACACCGAGTTTAATCCAGCCCCGTGGGCTTTTGAGATCTGGAAGCTGGTAAACGCATGGACATCATTGTGGATTCTCTACAGCTTAACCCACATCCGAAGAAATATTCCGGACGTTTTAACTCCGCTTTTCTTTGTCTGTTTCACCATGGCTTCCGTTTTTAACATGGCTTGGACGCAGTTCACGAGCTGGGACATCATAAATCCCGCGACGGGGTTTGTTTTCGCAATACTGGTTTTCCTTTACGCCACCCTCTTCTGCAGCTACTCTGGTTTATACAAACAACGGTACTATATTCGACGTTCCGAGTTCTGGTTTATACACCTCTTCCTTAACAACGGCATCGCAGTGTATGCGACCTGGGTGACCGTGGCTGCTCTTCGAAGCCTCGCACTAAACATGACATATTTCCACGGAATAAGGCAAGAATATGCTGTCACCACTGTTCTCGGAATTCTCGCTCTTTGGATGGTGATATTTTTTATTTTAGAGAACACACTTTTTAAAGAACACCTCCTCTACACTCTAACAGTTTATCCTGTTTTAATCTGGGCTTTTGTAACCAGCGTGATTTTCAATTTGAACCGTGTGAGTCGCACAAACAACGCCTTCATGGAGGTTCTTCTCGCCGTGTCATGCACGTTTTTCGTTGGGAAGATCTTCCTCTTGATTTGGAACGTTGTTCGAAGGAACAGAGAAATAAGGGCAGCCGCCGATATAACCATGTCTGAAATGCCCAAAACTGACCAACAGCACGAAAAGTACACGGAAAAATCAGAGGGTAGAGAGGTCTTCGTCTAAAAAGGATTACTTTAATACAATTAGAAGCTAATGTGAGCATTTTCATGGTCACGCAATTATTTTCGAAGGTACTGTCACACTGCTAAGCCCTACTTGTACCACTGAAGGCTGTTCAGGAGACGGGAAATTTACACAAAGCGCTTTAGGGAAGCCTCTGCGGGGTGACTGAGAGACCATTCAGGTCCATTCAGAATATATTAGTCGACCTGCAAAAATGAAACGTTACTAAAATGCTCCATTTTTGTTAATAACTTTATAAGTATAATAAAGCAATATGGGCGACTTTCACCGTGAACCGAGGCCAGGGAAAGGTTAAATAAGAATTTTAAAATCCAAAACTCCAAGTACTGATCGTTTGAAAGAAAAACAGACTTGCTCAATTTTTTTCTCAAACTTATACCCGAAAAAGCCCCTCAATGTAAGGTTAATGGTTTATTTGCCACTACCCTATCGTCTCACAACAAACTCCATTGGCCCCTCAAACATTCCATCAGCATTGTTTTCCTTTCCCTTGAGATTTACAATCGTCGTAAAAGAAATAGAATGCTTACGCAATATTGGTACACATTCACGTTTCACACGAACATGGGAATCTGTTCTCTGTAGGCATTTTTATTTGCCAAACTGGCTTCAAAACTATTGACTGTTTGTTATCTTTACAAAGGAATAAAATAACTGATTTGAACATCAAATAAAAAGTACTATACTTTGAACGATTATTTCCAGTGTTTTTCTTTCAAGTTTGTGGGGGATTGAAGTCCTTATCGAACACTAATTTATTTACTCGAAAGAGTACAGTCTTGCCTCGCCCTCTCAACAACAAATAACAGTGCTGATATATATTCTTTCTTTTTCTTAATAGAGTGGTTTTCGTTTGAGTGTCGTAAAACCAAAACCAAAGTAATAACTCTGGCCAATCACATAGGACACAGACAATACATTGGACCAATCAAAACTCGAAGTAATTACCTGTGGCTGACGCAAAGCGCGGGAAAATGCATGCGAGCGCGTCACAATTGGCTTTGGTCTTACTTCTGATTGGATGAAAAGGTGGCGCGAATCTTTTAAGCCAATCGCATCGTGTAGAAAGTGCAAAACCAATTACTTTTCGACACTCAAATGAAAACCGCTCTATAGATTAAAATCTGTAAGGCCAATGACAATATGCAGTATTGGTTATCTTACCCTGCAGCATAGGTGCTATTGTTTGAGGAGATAGGGGAGGGGAGGGTGGAGGGCGATCACCGGAATTGGCTCATGGTGTCTGAGGTACACATAAGTCAATGTTGGTAGGTTGGCGCCCTTCCCCCTCTCCCCCACTTTGACATTTTACCTTGCCCACCCTATTACAAGAATTTTTCACTCAACCTCAGTCTTCTGCTCTCAAAACTAAAGACGCTGCTTTAACAAGCAACACTCCATTTTTTAAGAAAATGAGATTAGTCTCTCAAGGTTGCCCCACCTTTTCCCAAGACGTAAACAAACAAATAAACAGCAAGTACTCAAAATAACAGCTCAAACTCTTCCAGTGCATGTACATATATTAATCTGCAAACAATAGCAGATAACAATAATTATTCTTCCCTCCCAGTTTCTTAATTTAACACTCATCCTGTTTTAAAAAATTATCTATCATTTCCTCACCAACAGTACTTGGCCAAATCTCATAAGCCACAAAATGTGTCAGCCATTCAAAAGTATTCATCAAGTTGCAATACTATTGATGCCAATCAGAAGGCATTTTTGAACAAAATTATAACAGCTAGAGTTTTGAGAAAGATAACTTCACGAACTCTGAAATATCATTCTAACTCTAGTGTTTATAATAGAAGAGAATTCCCTATCATGTACTAGAAAGAATGCAACTGTATAATATTATGATCTAGGTTCCATTAAACTTAATACAGTTAAATTGACTGGCAATGACTTTCAAACTGCCATTCACAAGCAAAATAGCCTGCTGGTTATAAAAGGAAAACAATGAAACTCGAAAAAATAAATTGACTTCTCCTTTGGTATAAAGTGGAAAAAATAGTGATAATAAAAATTGTATAAATCTATAACAGCTCCTGAGAGCATGCAGAAGCCCTCATAATTATTATTCGAGACGGCACGTTTGTTGTTTTCTAAAAGTAAAAACTTCTTTTGAACATCTGTTTTGAGCACACATGCATCATACTTCATTGTTTGCATTTGTCTCCATTGGTTCAACAGTTCCACCATCCCCTTCCCCTTTTGGAGCACCTTGGTCGCCTTGGTAAAATGTTGGCTGGAAATGAAAATAACTGTCATTAAGCCTTCAAAGTAGATGACCTACTGGCTAAAAAAGCCTGTGGCAGATCCAGGGGCCTTCCCCCCTCCCTTATTTTTAGACCAAACTGAGGCCCAAAGGCCAAAAAAAATTTGTTAGAGACACCCCCCACCCCCCCCCCCGCCCCCCTGCTGTCCGCTCTCCCGCCCCGATCGTCATAAGATTCTTCCATCGCATATACTGCACAATATCTTATTCACGGCACATCACTTAACTGTTCTACTTCACACATCCCTTCCCCCTCGGCCTCGGTGAAAACGTTGGTTCAAGAATAAAAAAACGAACTCAACCGCAGAAAAGTCGGACCCCCTGGGGGAAAAACACCTTGGGGGAAACCAAGGGCGCCACCCCCCCCCCCTTTTTTCTACCCAAACGGGGGCCAAAAGCCAAAAAAAAATGTTTTAGGGCCCCCCCCCCCCCCCCCCGGAAGGTCTGGATCTGCCGCTGTAAGCCCCTTGGATATTCATTTGCACTGTAACAACAGGGCTTGAAAACAGCTTTAACCCTGCCCCACTATTTACACATAAATTCTCCACACTGATCTTCATACATTTCTTTAAAGAATTAGTTGAAAGAGTTTGATAACAGATCAAAGCATTTTCTCTAGAGTGATCATTTTATTAACTCTCATAAAACTATTTCTCTTGGCAACATATGGATATCATTACGAGAAAATTCATGTTGGTCACTATTGGGACTAAAAGGGTCAACTCGACCTCGTCCTTTGGACTAGCCGTTCTCACATTTTGCTTCCCTGGGGTCATTGAATGCATTTCTTAGTTTATGATTTTAGTTAGAAGACGACTTGCGCACCATTTGCCCAGTGGGCAAGAGAGCATGAAGAGCTACATGTCCACCAGAAAAATTTCATTACCCTAAGCTACTAGACAGGAGCTTTATTCAAGCCCTGAACAAACTTAACGCATAAGAGCAAGATACACAGATCAGAAAAACAATCAGTAAAATCCTTGCTTAGGGGGTGTTTACATGGGAAAACTCACACCAGCACAAGTTTCATACTTGGATGAATGTGTGATTTTGTATTGCATTTACATGATGATGGATCATTTCATATCTCGGTTATTTCAAGGTTCACTTCATGTTGATAAAATACATGTGCGATTCAAAATCACAAACATTACGCAAGAGCTACCCATTTTAGTCCACCAGCAGACCGATTTCACGCTGAAACAGGTGGTCATTTTGCGTTTACATGATACCATTGTGAAATTTCGTACCAGAGTGTAATTCTCGCTCCAGTACAAAAACCGGGGTGAACTCATGTCGGAGTGACTCGTGCCGGCACAACATTTTGTGATGGTACCGTGTAAACAAATACAGAGACATGAGAGGGAACCGGAGTGAACTCCCACTGGTGCTTAAGTCACCCCAGTGTCATGTAAACACCCTCTTAATAACAAACTGGCCCCAAAAAATTGTAATTTCAAACACAAACACTGGATTGATCAAGAAAATATGGTACATCAAAATGAGAGCATTCTGTACCATCACATACCTTGGTTGGCACTTGGTATTCAGATGCGGCAGGATTCTCAGACCCAGCTTCATCATCATCATCAGACTCTCCAGATGACTCTGATTCATCCTCTGACTTGTCTACCTTCTGAGGTGGAGTGGGGACAGCTGTAAAGGAACATTAATTTTCACAAAGTTGAGGGTACATGCATCCTTGAATAAAAGTATCCCTTTGGAGATATCAAGTGGCATTTCCATGCCCATCTGATGAATAGATACTCTAACCATGAATGCAGTTTATCATCTATGACTACTACATCTGTACCAGTTAAGACTGAAGTAATCATAGATGTAGTTCCAGATAACTTTTGAGTCTTCAAGTGAAATCTATAGAGTGACCACTTAAATGACACCTCTTTCACAGTAATTTCATGCAGACTATTTTGATCTCTGTATTTGTTTGTTTTTTGATGCACTTTGAAATTTTGCAGCAGGGCACTGTTGGGAGTAAATTGGGTTAATCCATAAAAAAGCACTCACCCCAGAAATTGTTTAAAATTTTTAAATGTGGAGAAAGGTAAAGCAAACCACCACCCACTCAACTCAATTGAAAATGCGTTGGGCTGCCAAGTGGGAGGCCATGAGTTCACACCTTTGCTAGACCAACAGCAGCAACTGAGGAGAAACAGCTGCCTTTGTAGTTAGCTTATCTGGTCTTCTTGGATAAGGCTGATAAACCATAGGGCCGCTTCGCGCAACCCCAGATACAAATGTTGCAGGACAGACTACCCACAAGTTATTGTTAAGAGTAGGAAGTGTGCAAAGAAAGTAGTGTCCAATAGCCCAGGGCTAGTGGATTTTGCTATCAGGCTATTGGGTGAATTCACTTATTAGCTTGCAAGATGGGCAAGTGAATTTTTTTGAGGAATTCAAATTACAGAAGAACTGTGAAATCAATCTGCTCATGAAAACGTTTTTGGGACTAGTTGAAATGATGTTTGGGCTGGTAAATGTTAGCTTCAGCTTGCCCTAATGGCAAGCTGTAAAAATAACTTTCGTCCGACCCTGGTAGGAGACTTAAAGTGCAGCCCCTGGTGTGGTTCACATTCACATTAGAAGGCATACATAACTCTCTACTTCATGAATTGAAAACTGTGCCACAAGCATACTGGCAAAAGAAAAAACCGGAACCAGTTTTGTAAATCAACCCCAAAAAGCCCCAGGGGGAGTGGATGATGAGATATTTAGAATTAACAATTTACAAAGCTACATTGAATTTGCCAGAAAGCAAGAAATAAGAAGAAACGTACTGGCCATTTTCTTTTCCTCCTGATCAACAACACCTTTTCCACTTAACAACAAATTATAACAGTTATCGCAGACTCGCAAAGGTTTTGAGGACTGAGAAGGCAGGAGAAACTTCTTGGTTGAACAGTTACTGCAGACAACCCCTCCACATTTCCTGCAATGGTGCTGAAGAATAATAAATCAATTAATGTCATTTTAACAAATTATATGTTAAGAAACTGAATTTTCCGTTCTAATTTTCTTTTTAAGAAACTGAATATTTTAACTACGCTTTATAAAACAGAGTACAAAAAAATGGGAGATAGCATGTATCAAACCCTGTCCCTCCGGCTCCGAAGGTCACGTGTTACTGCACATACAATAACAAAAGAAATGACCTTACCATCATTCATTCTTACACCAACGATAGCATAGAACCTTGTAAGCCAGTAAGCACAAAAATTGCACAGGAGATGTTAAAAAACATGTAAAAAGCCAACCTTTTGACATCATCATAACCCCATTATCAAGACTAAGTGCAAATTATACAATGTGTATAAAACGTTTCAAGTCTCTAAATACACATTATTTGCAAAAATAAATCGTTACTTAGTCTAGATAATTGCATTGAAAGATCCTGCAGGGATTTACAGATGTCTGGAAAGGGGAGGCAGACCAAAAATGGTTTGTTGGCTGTTCATGTAACAATCATTTTAGGACATACTCTCTACAATCAGGCCTTCTGACAGACTACGGACCTTACGATCTGTCAACAGCAACACCCCTGAAAGTGTCGCTGAAAAATAGACTTCACATCCTTGCACTTTTTTTCACAATTATCCCATGTTCCCCGGTCATCTTCTTCTAGTTCAGAGGGAGATGGTCATTTAATGTCGTAGTTGTGCAAGGACAGCAAAGAAATTTTCAGAAGGACGTGATGCACGTGCAGAGTTGTTGTTTTGCTGATTAAACATATTCCTTTTGTGATGTTCCCATTGCCATTGCCATTGTAGTTTCGTAAGGTCCCTAGTGTGTCAATAAAACAACATTGATCATTCAAATTTACTGATAAACATACTCTTCGATTTAAAGCTGTGAACTTGCTCTTTAAACAATGCATGCAAGTTGATGCCTCGCTATCAGGAACCCAAACAGCTGCATGTTCAGTGGTGCCTTTCTTCCCCGCTAAAAAATAATCAGACCAAACAATCTCTGTTACAATGCAGTTCTATCTCAATGAAGTGAAAAAGAACCACATTTACCCTCTGTATGGAAGACAACAATTTTTTATTCCGCAAATGAATTAAACAATTTCGAACCTGAGAATGTTGCAGCTAATCAAGGCAAACTTGTTTACTCTTTTATGAGTACATAAGGTTATGCCTGTCAGTGTACATGGATCTTCCAGTCATCATAAAACGAAAGATTCAGTCAGAAAAGAGCAACAGTAATATCTCTGTTTACTTGCCTGGTCATGTTACAGCTGTACAGCTCTACAGATTATGCTTATACAATATTATGAAAATCACAGCTGTTAAAACAAGGCTTGTTCAAATAACTACTTAAAGAAACAAACACATTTACACTGTATGCTAACTTTTTGCCAGTAGGTCTTGAATACACTTGTTGATGTGAGCCATCCATTCAGCCTTCTCTGTTCTTGTAGCTGCATAAACTGCAAATGACTTCTTTGCACTAATAATCTGCCAGCCATTTTTTAAATCTAGAGGTACAGTATACCAGATAGGAATGTTAGCAAACCAATCACTGACAGAAATATTACATCCACCATTAAACAAGATTATTTTCTGATATAATATTGCACTCATTAATATCAGACATTGTATGTCAAGGATGGTACATTTTCCTAGACACTTATACAAAATGTACCATTAAGCAGTGCTCTTACTTAAAACACTCGACCCAAAAAATTGGAACACTTACTTCCTTCATCATCCAAGGACTGTAGTTTTATATCCTCTAGAGGAATAACATGCTGCTTGTTATACTGAAATTGAAACATCATTATATAAGTTTGCAGCTATTTTGCAGGGAGTTTGCTAATTCTTTATAAAGCAAAACAACCAGTGGAGACAACCGGTCAGTAATCACTGTTACTTGAATAGTTACCCTCAGTAACAAGTGCTAGAATAACTGAGTATTGTTACTACTAACCTTTTTCTTGTTGATGACAATGTTTCCATAAACAAGAATATCATTGAATAAAAAGAACTGACGTGGCTTGGGTTTCTTTCTACAGAGCTTGGTCAGGACACCTTCACCAACCAAAACCCTTCCTGGTACCATCAAAGGCTGAAATAGTAAAAGGAAATTAGATCAGCTCTTGGACAAATCAATTGATCCAACATACAGCACCTTTAAATTAGGACCAAAAAACAACACATTACATAAATACATTCTAATTCAACCACAAATGGGAAATGACCAGCAAACCTTCAATCTTAGTAAAGTCAAACTCCGTTAATACAGACATGTTAACAGGGTGTCCATATTAAGCAGGTCATGTCATTTATGTAAAAAATATATACCTTTTGGGGAGCATTAGCATCATCAAATTAAATATATTTAATCGTCACAAAGCTGTGATTCTGTGCTAAAAACATTAAACACATACATTACTTAATCAAAAGCGTCATCCTATCCAGTATGTTGAAGCACTGAGAACATCAACATGCTGTCCACTGAAAATTTTTTTTACTTTTAAAAAGGAAAGGTCTATTTCACCACGCAGTTAATAATAAAAGTGTCCACATAAGTGAGGTTGACTTTCTATGTGAATCTGTTGTCTGCGTGATGAAACAGGTGTCTGTTGTCCACACAATTTATATTAATGGGTGTCTATATTAAGCGGGTTGAATTTAGAGAAAGTGTAAGGGCTTTCCCCTGGGGTAAAGTCAATGAGGTCTCTGTATTAAGCAGGTGTCCATGGAGCAAGGTTCAACTGTAACTGTGGCAGGGTGGGTTCAGTTGGTAGAAGTCTGATCTCCTGGAGACTTAAAGGTTATAGGTTCAGTCTTTGGTACCACACCAATACTAGCCTGAGTAGCAAGCGCTACTAGATGAGTTATAGCGCGAAAGTTGGAGCGGGAGCAGAGAAAATGGAAGGGGGAGAGAGAGGGGAGAAGAGGAACATTTGCCCACAAACCCCACGATTCTGGAAAACGCCCCTTGATATTTCACGGTTCGGTTCATTTGTAAATTGACAGCTCGTCAAAATATAGCAAATAGATTACCATATTTGAAAAATTTACTTTGTTCCCTAAAACATGCTCCACGCCATTGCAAAACTGTAATAAAAAGAAGCTTTACGATAAAAGAAGGTTGAAACTCTAAGTGATTGCTGCGGAATTTCTCGTTCTTTATAGTTAAGTTAAATTTTGAACGTTATGTGGCTTTATCTCATCGGAAACCTTGTCAAAACGTTGCAAAGAAATGATTTGTCCAGAACAATTTACACCGCCAGCTATGAGTTTTGCAGAGCGGCTACTCTCTATAGGCCAGCCATTGTCGAAAAGTTCTCTACAATACATGCTGCTCAATTTCCAATCAGTTGTCCATGGCAGCTCTAGCTAGTGTCTAGTACCGATGTTCTGATTTACGTTGATGTTATCTCCAACAAACAGTCCATTTTTTTCCAGTCAGATAAGCACACGGTTGTTCCCAATAAATTGGCCTTCACTAGTCTTCACTACTCGATCTCCAATTATACTTTTGATCGAAGGGATTCAGATCTGATAAATCTTTGCACAAACATGATTCAAATAAATATCAGACCAAAGCATTTGTAATCTGCGACCACAAATCAGATCAGACCAGATCTGTGACGCACCGTAAACAAAACATACCTGGTTTGATTGATGTTTCGAGTGCTAAGTAATCAACATTACCAGCACCAATCAAATGCTGCGTTTGTGGGCGAATGCAGTTTTTCAAAATCGCGGGGTTTGTGAGCAAGCATTTCTTTCTCTTCCCTCCCCCTCCCTCATCATTCCCTTTTTTTTGCTCTTGTCCCAACGTTCTCGACAAATTCGCGCAGAAACGCTTGCTATGCAGGCTAGACCAATACTTGTGGCCTATTCGTCCTAAGGAAGAAGGCTGTTCCCATGCCCTACAAAAGTTAAGACTTTTGCATTGCTTAGGTGACCATGTAGAAACGGCAATCAACTGCAGCAGGGAACAGTGCTTTGTGCTAAATGCATTAACATGTTTATTCCCACCAATACATAGTACAAAGGAATTTGCTAGCAGTAGGGAATGCAAATTGAAATAAGCCCCATAGAATATATACCCTTACCCTGTGAGAAGAGATCGATGGGCCTCTACACATAGGGTACAGAATATATTGTTCTTTGTTTTCCTTATAATTATACGAAGCTCAACATTCTCCACCTCGCACAAGGTCTCTGTAAACTGTAGAAGCCCACAACCACCTTTCATAAATTTATTGAAATAAAATACTACCTCAGGAGAAGTTGCAAAACAACCCTATGACCTTTCGAACACTACTACATGTACAAAAATCAAACATTTTCATGAGTGTTGAAGCGTGCTAACAACTAACCTGCCCCGAGGTTCCAAAACAATTTTCAACATTTCTTATACGTCTTTCATTAGCTTCCGTGTTTGCTGCGGTAAATATAAGGAAATATTAATAAAGTCAAAGCAGAAGCATATATATGCTTCTGGTTCAAGCAATTAACTCGTGTAACTTTAACAATGCACATTAAAGTTGTTTCAACTTGTTGCCTTAAATGCATTCGACAGGGTCGAGTTGTAATACCTGTCTAATAAGCCAGCTAATTCCTGACTGTTGCTCCACTAGATTCTGTTCTTAAGTATGAAAGGCATAAGCTTTCCATGACCCAATACAACTACATCGATATATTTATCGTAACAACCGAATGTCGATCTCTAATGGCATTATAAACCACAACCCTGTGGAGCACAAATCGAGTGCTACTTCATGGAGTCTAACACCCGTCTTTTCGGCGTTAATTTATAAAAAAAAGAAATTAAATAATTATGCTACTCTTTCTCTCTCTCTCTCTCTGAGCCAGAGGAGATCTCAAAAATACAGCAAGAAATGCAGAATTCCTTCATACCTAGCCTGTCCACCATCTTGGTCCGGCGACTCCGAGACTCAGCTAAAAGATCACATGCTAGCGCAGGTTATTTTGATTGGTGCGTGGGCAGGGCCCGGAAATTGTCACGCTGGAACGAGTGGGAGGATTCTCATATTACTATTTTACCGTGTATGGAAATGTTCACGTTGTCTTCGTTAATTTTTACCTTAAACAGGAAACTGGGTGGCTTTTCAAACGTTCGCGGGGTTGCAGCACTTAAAAAATATTGGGCGATGATGTAACCTCTAATTAAGTACATTTTGTCTCTGTTCTATAATAGCCTCGGACACTTCAATCAATCTTCACACATTTACACAAGTGTACGTATTAAGTAGGAAAACAAAGTAACTGATGAATAATCATTAAGGTAAAAGACATTAAGTTCATTTTTTTTCAGTGTCCAAAGTAGCAACAGCTTTCTTGTTGGACACCTTCACGTTCAGATAACCGGAAGCGGCAAAAGAGGAAATAAAATCTCTAATAATATCAGTGATAGAACATATAAGCAAAGCTAAGATAATTGAACAGGAATGTAAATTTCAAATGCTGAGCCCCAGCAAGAAATTTAAATAAAATCCAATTACCGGTAAGTCAATTTGCAGGCTCAAAAATTAACACCCAAGGGGGGTACTCCGGATATCAAGTGACAGGGAAGATCAAATGGGGGCAAAAATCAACTCCCCCCCCCCCCCCCCAAAAAAAAAAAAACAAAAAAACCAAAAAAAAACAAAAAAAAAACCCCCCCACCCCACCCCCCAAAACAAACAAAAAAAAACACAAAAAAAACACCCACACGAGGGGGGGAAACAACAAAACAACAAAAAACAACCCATAAACCCCTCCCACACGCCGCCTCTCGCCTCATGAACAATTGGCAGGCCAAAAAAAAAAACCCCGGGGGGGGTCACCCGAATAAAAAGGAAAAGGAAAAAAAAAAGGGGGCAAAAAACAACCCCCCCCCCCCCCCCCAAAAAAAAAAAACCCTAGCGCTTCAAACAAAACCCAAAAAAATCCCGGCCATGCCGAACTTCCAAACCATAAAAGTTTATTCGCGGAACTACGCAGCCGGGATGTGTGGGAACTATCACGAGATTATCTTGTTTTGAATACACAAAAAAAAATACCTACTTGAATGAAGCTACCCAAAAATATACTCAATGCCAAAATTTTCCAACCCCCCAAAATCCTGAAATCAAAAATTTCAAACCCCCCCAAAAACTTCAATCAGTCCTGTCACTTGCAATCCGGAGTAACCCGGAAATTTACGGTTGTGTACTGAATATCCATATCCTGGTCTGAGTGGAAGCAGGGCTGGAGGTGGCTTTGTTTGATATAAATATTACTTCTTTTCTAATGCAAATCATGCTATAATGCGTATCAATGGAGTGAGGTATTTCTTTACTGGGTCTTTACTGCCAGCCTGGTTAGGTTGTTTAGCATACAACTGTGAATCAGGCCTTTCCCTGTAGGACAAGAGCTTGCTGTACCATCATCAGGGTGCAAAGAAAGTCAGTTTTACTGCTTGCCATTCGGGTAAGCAGTAGCCAGCATGTTCTAGCCTAAAAGTCACCCCAAAAACTTTTTGATAAGCAGGATTGATTACAGTTTTTCTGTAATTTGAATTTCTCAAAAAAGTTTACTTACCTGAGCAAAATTCACTAGCCCAATAGCAAAATCCACTAGCACCAGGCTATCAGACAGTACTTTCTTTGCATGCTTTCTTTCTTTCTTAGCCTTATCATAAAAAATATAATGCTCTGTAGATCATAGAGATATTAAATAACAAGATAAAAGGGTAACATTGTTACCATTGTTACCCATGATGGGAAGATGAAAGACCCTGACAATGTTTACAAGGTTGGTACAAGAAGCAATTCAAATTCTCTTTATTGCATGGCTTGTTCTTTAAGCTATGCGCTCACTGGAAATGGCACGTGGCCCCACCTCTCCTGCTCGTTTTTTGTTTGTTTGTTTGTTTGCTTGTTTGCCCGCTCACTTGCTCTCAGGCTCTCTTTTTAGGCCTCTGCCAACTCCCCAAACATCTGATCATGAATGTACTGGGTATGAGGCCCTCTGAGGAAGGGGGGGGGGTACATATGTCCCTGCATAATGGCCTGAACTTTATATACGGCCATTATTTTTGCATTTTTAGGAGTAGGCTATGTCCCTGTCGGTATTTAACCCATCTTAACATTGTTTGTCATCAATCCCTCTAGTCTCATGTTGCTGTTTTAAGGCCATGTCGCTTGTCAGAATTTACAGGGCCTGCAACATGTGCACGGAGAGATTTACATTACTCAACTGGGGTCATGTAGCAGCTGCTCAGAAGAGAAGTCACAATGGTGCCTAACCCTGACTCCAAACAATACTGAAAGAATTGAAAGAATGACATGTCATTGTTTTCTGTGACCAATCAGGAGAGACCTTACAAGCAGCTCCTACTCAACTGTTGCTCTTTACACACCCTTATCCATTTCCACAGGAGAATCTACACTTAACAGTCAAATATTTGTATTTCCAATATTAGCTTTATTAGTTTTTATAAATAGTATTTGCTTTATAGGTACTGGAAAGTTAACTTGTTCATACTACTCCTCCCAGCTGGACACTGCATGTTTGGGGGATTATAAAGGTTCTACGTTACTACTCGACACTATAATCAAACAAACATTAAGAACATAGACTATGATAACAAAACAAAATGATAAGATAATCTCATGCACAAAATATTTTTTTTTATTTACTATTCCTTTCACTCTGCACACCCCAACAAATGAGTAGCAATGAGCAATATTGAAAGCCTGTGGAGAATGGCATCCTAAGATTATTTTCTAGTATTATCTTTAATTCCCCTTACAATTCCTTAATAATCTTAGAGGAGGAAAATGGCAGAGATTTCAGCCACACGTAAATTGACTTGAAAAGGTTATATTAAAATACTGGTATATGTATGGCAATACATTGAATAGTTGCTATTGTGGACATTTGTAATCTCACAAACTTCTATGTTACCCAAGTCATATGCCACTTGCACACCTCCCATATTTTATGCACCTTATTTGCCCCCCAAATTTTGCATAACCTTTGTTTTTCATTTCTCCTACATATTACAGTCGTCCCAAGAGAAATTGAAAACAATGCTTATGCAAAATTTTGGGGGGCAAAAAAGGTGCATAAAATATGGGAGATGCAGTGCAAGTCACATATTAAAAGAAATTCCAAGCTGAATTTAATGCTTCTTGCAAGTAACTTGTACATTTCGCACTTGGACTGTATGCTAAACGACCAGCTTATTTTTAATATTTTATGACACCTTTGAATGGCATCTTTAAAGCTGTATTTACAATTCAAGTTTACTAAATAATGCTTTAAACATTGCAATTCCTTGGGTCTGACCCGTCAAACCACATACATGAAAATGACTTGAATCATGATGATGTACAAGAAATTTTCTTAGGAATAAGTGGTGGAAGAGGAAGTTTACGGATGTCTTGTGGAGAAACAATGTTCTTCAGGGTCTTTACACAGTATTCTTCAAGCTTGCAGACTATAAGAAAAAAATAGAAATTTAAGAAATAGAGAATACTGAACATTACTTGTGGTTAACTTGGTGTCATAAATTCAAAAAAAAACTAGTGCTTCTAAATAAATATGTTTTCCATAAAAAAGACAACTACAACACCAAATGGCTAACACTTTGAAAACTGACCTAGATTAGATTATTATTTTGTTTAAGACTAGACGCTAAAATGATCATGTTTTTACAGGGTCACTAAATCCTGGATTGAACTACCACTGTATTTGAAAATCTGAATCCCTTGATGTATTAAGCAATGGTTTAAAATCCTATGAACATAAAAAGAGGCAGCCTGGCTGAGTGTGCAGAAGCCCCAAGTTCAAGTAAGACCCTGACTGCTTGCTGGATTTGTTCCCAGTAGTCCTGAACTCAAATCCTTAACCACACTTGTCAATGAACAAGTAGTTCAGAGCTGTGCTCTAGCAGAGCCCGATGTAGCTTGCGAATACAGCTGTTTCTCCTTGTTCCTCACTGCTAAGGACGTTTTGCCAAGAGAAATGTCTGCAACTCAGCGACAGAAATTCCATACTGATGGCGTAAAATCTGTCTGGAATCTGGTTAGGAGCTCTGATTGGTCAATGTAGTAGTTATATTGTTTTACCTGTTGTTTATGAATGACAGACAAAAGGCCACAATGGCCAAATGTAAACGTGATGAATCTATTACAAAACAGTCAATATTCTTGGAATAGATTCATTTTTAGAAAAAGCATCTGAGTTTTGCTGGAGCTCGTTCGCAAAAGATCACAAAACTTTACCATAATTGACCACGAGAAACATGAAATCAAACAAATTTACATTTGAAACCCCATGAATACCAGATTTATTATGTAAACATTAATTTACATCATCAGTTAGATGGAATTTCTTTCGCTGAGTAGATGTTCCTCCTGGTGAAATGTCCCTGCAGGCAGTGAGGAGCTAGGAGAAACGGCTGTATTCGCAGGCTAAGCCCAACGGCCCCTGGCATCTAACTTTTCCTATCAGGCAACTAGAAAATCTTAGTTTTTTCATACCAATCATGTGCTGTATGGGCACCCTAGATTTTACAGGCCCAGAGCATTGGGCTCCCTTCAATTTTCCTTAGAGCACAGCCTTGTAGTTTGCCTCCAGCTAGTTGGGATTCTTAACCTCCATTAATGTTTGATTTAGTCTAAACTGAAACCATGAGATTATCAATATTTCAGTATCAGTTTTAGATTTTATCTTTAGTTCATTCAAATTTATCAGTATCAGTATTTACTTTACTCTGGTGAAATTTCATCTTTTCGGTCAATATGCATATATTATTTTTAGCAAAAAACTTTATGTAGGCTTTAAGTTTTATTTATTTTATAAATTTTATGTCTTATTGTTATTACCCTTATCAGAGAATGTTTTTCTTATTTAGGGTTTTTCCTTCAATTTTTAATTTTCCTGTATCATAAAACAATATAAGCTAACAGTAAATGAAAAGTAAAATTAATGTACAGCACTGTACTTCTATTTTAAAAATTAGATTCCTCTAGGCATCTAGGAGGGGGGGGGGGGCAAGGGGGGGTTGTACAGCACTGTACTTCTATTTTAAAAATTAGATTCCTCTAGGCATCTAGGAGGGGGGGGGGGCAAGGGGGGGTCTACGGTGGCCCACAACTGTCACGGCAAAACCAAAAACCTCACGGCAAAAACAAAATACCTCATGACAAAACCAAAAACCTCACGGCAAAACCAAAATACTTCACACCAAAAACCAAATACCTCACGGCAAAAGCAATATTACTCACGGCAAAACCAAAGCTATTTTGCTTTTGCTGTGAAGTATTTGGTTTTGCCATGAGGTTTTTGGTTTTGCCGTGAGGTATTTTGTTTTTGCCGTGAGGGTTTTGGTTTTGCCATAAGGTATTTTGTTTTTGCAGTGAGGGTTTTGGTTTTGCCGTGAGGTATTTTGTTTTTGCGGTGAGGTTTTTGGTTTTGACGTGATGTTTTTGTTTCTGCCGTGAGGTTTTTGGTTTTGCCGTGACGCGTGAGTTGTGGGCCACCATACGGGTTTCATCACGAGTTCACAAACAACAATTTTGCATTTCACAAGTCACAAAAGCAATTCTTTACCCTTTCACGCTTCACAAACAATAAAGGTCATACAAAATGCCAAAAACGTTGCATCCCATTTTGTAAAACAGTCAGTGCTTCAATTAGATTACTAAAGTTTTTCAAACCAATAAATTCCCAACGGGAAGCCAGCTGTAGGTGAGTATGAGCGCATTGAAGTGTGAAGTTTCATCAAAAGATTCAAAAGTGAACTTTAACAAAGCCACCATTCATGTTAAGGTTGTTTGGCCAAATTAACGATTTAATTTCTTCAATTTATTTTCAATGTACATATACACAAACGAGGATTTTGGCAGTTCAGGAGTTTCACGGAGATCACTTCAATCACGATTCACAGGACAGTTTTTCAGTAAATCATGATTGACGGACACCAAAAATGGTCGATACCACCTACGGCGTCACGAAAGTAAGCTTGCCATCCATACCCCCCCCTCCCCCCCCCCCACCATCTACATCTTGAACAGGTTGATTTGTAGCATTCGAACAAGAAGTGAGAATAATGGGCGCTTCGAGGACGCACAACTATAATTTACTGCCTGGAATATTTCTGAATTACCCGGATCTTAACGACGGTCTATAAAAATCCTTACCGGGCAATGTTATGAGTACTTCAGCTCTTACAACAGAATCTTCACGATGCTCAAAATCCATCCGCCGTACTTCCGGTTCACCGGGGAGATATGTTTTTCTAAAGTTCAACAACATTCTTTCATTCGTTTTTGCATCCACTGCTATCCACGGATGAGTCACAAAAGTGTTCATACCCAGTTGACCGTTTGTAAGCAGAGTAGAGTAGCACACCTCCTTTCCCTCATAGTTTATCCAGATTACACGTACTTCCCTTCCTGTTCTGTTGATGAATATCACAGGGCACTTGACAAAGCTGTGTATAGACTTGTAAGGACGTACGGGTGGATTTTCTTCGACTTCTTGTTCTTCCATTTTGCAGCCAGTCACAACAGTAAATGAAAAGTAAAATTAACGTACAGCACTGTACTTCTATTTTGAAAATTAAATTCCTCTAGGCATCTAGGAGAGGGGGGGCAGGGGGGGTCTACGGTGGCCCACAACTGTCACGGAAAAACCAAAAACCTCACGGTTACACGTACTTCCCTTCCAGTTCTGTTGATGAATGTCACAGGGAACTTGACAAAGCTGTGTATAGACTTGTAAGGAGGTACGGGTGGATTTTCTTCGACTTCTTGTTTTTCCATTTTACAGCCAGTCACAACTTGAAAGTTGTATTAAAAAGCTGCTGTACCAGTGTCTTGGTTGTCCGAGTCACGACTTCACGACACTCTATGATCTGAGCCGACACTATTTTTGTGGCCAGTGGACCGGTAAAAATATAGCTACTACTTCATTTAGGATGCACGAAATATGGGTCATGTTATCGCACAGTGCCGTGCAGGCGTTTTTTACACAGGGTCCACACGAGATGTGTTTGTCGTTAGAAAATCAAAACCCGTCGAAAACCACCGAAAAAGTGGGTTATTTTGATCGCGTTACAGTTTCGTTACACATTCTATAGACCGCAAACCAAGAGACAGAGGGGGCGCAGGATCGGCTTACAGTATAAAATCTTTTACTCGGCACTTCGTGCGACGGGCCTTCGGTCACCCTTCGGGCGACGTGCCGTGCGCCAGCGAGGATATGGCTTGCGGTTATTGATTCTGGATCAGATAAGAAGCGAAGAAATCGTTTACAGTAGATTTATAAAGATCCCATTGGGCTAATTAATCGTGCTAAGCGACAGGTATAGACATTTTTCAAGGTGACACTTTAAATAAGTAATTCATTTATTCACACGAAACTTCTCTGGACCCTGTGTTTTTACGGACGCGCGGTTTTAACCCGGGGGGGGGGGGGGGGGCCCCCCAAACTTTACTTAACGGGGAGTGCCCCCCCCACGGGGGCGGGTTTTTTGAGCCCCGGGTTTTGGAAGGGGGTTCCTTTTTAGGGGGGTTTTTTTGGAGCGGGGGAAAAAAAAGTGGGGGCGAGGGCTTTCTCTTTGCCTTAAGATTTTTGTGGATTGTGAGGAGGCATTGATTTGTTTTAGAAGTCAACAAAA